TACATGGGTCCCACTGCCTTCATGGGGTGTAATTTAAAACTCTGCCACTTGAGAGTCTAAAAAAAAATGTTCAATTACCTTGTTCCTGTATTTCATTAGTTTAATCACCGTTCATTGTGATGGAATCTGTGTTTAAATTAGCAAATTACATCAATCCTGAGTTTGTGTGCTTAGGGAGCTGTAGGTGGGAATTTAACCTCTTAAACTTCACGCTGGCCCTTTGTGCAGATGCAATGTGCTGTAGAGATGTAAAGATGCACCTACTTCTCTTACAGCTTGTTATTTGCTGTCTTGCAAAACAGATATAAATTCTTGATGATTGGTTTGGGATGGTAATATCATATGGTTCATGTAGAGTCTTCATTCTGGGGACCATATAGTAATCATAGAATGGTTTGGGTTGGAAGGAATCATAAAGATCATCTTGTTCCAACTCCCCCTGCCATGGGCAAGGACACCTTCCACTAGCCCAAGGTGCTCCAAGCCCCATCCAACCTGGCCTTGGACACTTCCAGGGATGGGGCAGCCACAGCTTCTCTGGGCAACCTGTGCCAGGGCCTCCCCACCCTCCCAGGGAAAAATTTCTCCCTAATATCCAATCTACACCTACTGTCTGTCAGTCTGAAGCCATTCCCCCTTGTCCTGTCACTCCAGGGCCTTGGAAATAGTCTCTCCCCATCTTCACCCTTCAGGTCCTGGAAGGCCACAATCAGGTCACCCCAAAGCTTCTCTTCCCCAGGTTGAACAATCCCAACTCTCCCAGCCTTTCCTCACAGCAGAGCTGCTCCACCCCTCTGATCACCGTGGTGTCCCTCCTCTGGACTCACTCCAACATCTCCATGTCCTTGCTGTGCTGTGTCCCCAGAGCTGGAGGCAGCACTGCAGGGGGGTCTCCCCAGAGCAGAGCAGAGGGACAGAATCTCCCTTTCCCATGCTGGCCATGGAGTAGGGTGTAGAGGCTTTTTGCTTCCACCAGCCCCTGAATTGCTGTTTTTTTGAACAGGAAACCATGGAACACAGCGCTGCTGATGCTTTTTTGGGGGCTGTCTGGGTTGTTTTCTCTACCATTCGCAGCAACACAAAGCTTTGATAGAAGTATTAAAAAAAAAGAGGCCCAATAATTTCCAGTTGTGCATATTCTTAAAGGTAGATTTCAGAAGTCAGAAGGGATCCACTGGCAAGGCAGGTACCTATGTGAGCATAAGTACAACAACTAAGGCTGTGCTTTGGCTGCTCACTGAATTGACTTCTGAACTGGTCACTGACCTTTATCTGGAAATACTTCATAATTCTGCATGAGATTTAATGTAATCTGGACCTGGGAGAAACACTGTAGTTTAGGGGATACTGTACATTGCTGACACGAAGCTCATTACGTGAACACAACTGTAACTTAATTTTTCAAATGATAAGGTTTGCCTGAATGAGGTGAGACTGAGTTCTGCCAGGTGCTTTTTGTGTCCAAAAGCTCACGGACAACATGCAAGGCAAGAAGCAGCATGCAGACATGGAGTTGCTCTTTGGCAACAACCCAGGCAAGCTGCTTGCTTTTTTTTCCTTGTCAGTGGTAGCACATCAAACCCAGCAGTTTGTTGCAGGGACGCCTGTGTTCTGAAACACTCTATCATTAGTTCTGAATTAACTCATTCACCCTTTCATTTGTGAATTAATCCCCTCTAATGCAGGCAAACATCACAGTTGTGGTTGTCTGGGTGTTGTTAATCTGCATCATACATAGGCTGAGCACTAAACCTGGGTAATGATCTCGGATGAGGACAGCTTTGTTTTAGACCAGTCCTGAACTCCAGGTGTGGTTGTTGAACTCTGTAAGTATTACTTCCACAAAACACTTTCTTTTATGTGGCTCTTGAGTGCTGAGTTCATTATTTAGGGCTGTGTGTTGATTTGGAACCCTGAGCTAAGATGGAAATAGTTCTTGGCAAGTGCTGTGCTTAATTCTTTAATTCATTTTGGTCGAGATTGTTAGAGCTTTATTCTCCTCCCCTCCTCTCCTTTCCTTTTTTTTTTTTTTTGTGTCTGTTGTTACATTTCTTTTAAACGATGAATTTAATAGCAGAGTGAATAGAAACTGCACACTGCTCGTTCCCCTAGTGGTACCTACTCCTGTTTGCAATTTTCAGACAGCTTTGAACTTGACTATTTCTGACACAACACAAGCATTAGTAGCACAGCCATGATTACAAGCTGAAAGCTTCTAGGAGTAACAAAACAGAGCAGCGAAGTGCAGCCTTTGTCCTGGGTTCTGGGGTATGTTTTTACTGAATTTTTCTCTTCAGGGATTTTATTGTTAATATGCTATGGCAAGCAGTGCTAGGTTTATTTTTCCTACAACACCACCAATGCCTGCAACAAACTATAAATCTTCATGGATCAATGAACAATATTGTGAGCTGGCAAAAATCTCTCACTTTATATCTTGGCATAGTAAACTTGTTTTTGAAATACTTTATTAAAACAAACCTTAAATCTGTTTCTTAGAGTGTTGGCCAAGCATGTTAGTGCACTGATGGATTTTTTTTTTCTTTTTTCCTCTTCCCCCCCCCAGTGCCTGCCTACAGTCACTTATTTATAAAGCTTTTGGGGTGGTGGATTGCTGTTCCCATGCTGCCTTGTTTTGTTGATTTCTATCCCTCAAATCCTTAAGCTCTCACTCCTGACTTGGAAGTGAACATGGACATTTTGGTCTCTGAACTTGGCCAGCCAGTGACCTCTGGGATAAGCCAGGAGCCAAAGCTGCTCGTTCTGTAGGCGGGGCCTCCAGAGCCAGTTTGTTGCATCCTGAGCTAATTGTGAGAAAGTGAGATCAGAGGAGCCATTTCCAACACAGTAGTTGCATCTTGGGAAGCTCTTTGTAAGGCAACATTGAATTTTAGGGGGGTGCATAGCGGGTTAATTGCCACAGTCTCCTACAAATCTGAGGTGAGGAGTCCATGTTAATGTTGTGATTGGAGGTGGAAGGCAGATCTCCAGCCTAAGATTAGGATATTTTTGTCCTTTTGGAAAAAGTGTGGTGGTTGGGCAGGTGGTATGAGGAAAAAAAAAATGGATTACCACTGATATCCACATTTCTTCCAACTCCTCCACTCTATAGTTGTATGACAGATATTTTAGGCGCTTATGTGCTGAAATAAATCATTTGAATGATCATCTGTCATGGAAATGGATATAGGTAATGCATTAAAGTAGTTAATGATGTTTTTAAGGTTAATGGCAATTGTGGAGCTGTTCAGAAATTCATTAGCATTGTGTGCTTTAAAAGCAGTTGATCTTTCACATCTTTCTGTAAACACTGTTGTGGCTTTTAAGTGAAGTCACTTTGATAAGGGAAACTCTCTTCTGCATTTGGAGAGTGCTGTATCTCAGAGTAGTAAGAGGGGTTTGGAAAAATCCCATGAGGGGTATCAGAGGAAGAAGATTCCTGAGCTGAATTTAAGCATGTTGAGTAGCAGCACAAATGAAGACTTAAACGTAAGTTGTACTGTTTTGTTCCCAAAAAGCACACCAGACTGCACTCACTGTATATTGAGCTATCACCAGAGTGCTCAGAAAAACTCCCAGCAGTGTTAAAGGACTTGAGCTGCTTCCTGAAGGCTGAGTATCCCAGGGGGAATGTGGGAGCTGCTGTTCCAGAGGAGCAGCCTGTGTGGGGAGCTCCATTGCTCGTTTGCGGTTCAGGCAGCCTGTGCTACTCTGGTCCCTGTGCTCTCCTCAGTGAAGGTTTGTCACCAGCAACACTGCCAGGGGCCACCTGAGCTGGCATCACACTGCTGGGACCTGGGCTGGCTCTCCCCAGCGTCTGAGTGGATGGGGGGGCATGAACTGAGGGACTGAGGCTCTGTCAGTCATTAACAGCTGCCTCTCATTGATGAAACAGCTTAACAGCAAACACTCCTCCCTTAAATTTGGTGTTTCTCAGTGGCTGAAACATGTGGGACTCCTGTTCATGTTTTCTTCCTCTAGAGCTTTGTACTGGGCGTATTTATGTGGTGGTGGCCAGCATGACTGGGTCACTTGCTTTAAACTTTGCTGGAGGGTGGGGAGGCCCTGGCACAGGTTGCCCAGAGAAGCTGTGGCTGCCCCATCCGTGGAAGTGTTCCAGGCCACGTTGAACGAGGCTCTGAGCAACCTGGGCTAGTGGAAAGTGTCCCTGCCCATGGCAGGGGGTTGGAACGGGATGATCTTCACTGTCGCTCCCAACCCAAACCATTCTGTGATTCTGGGAATCCAATCCCTCCAAACCTGGCAGCAGCCCCAGGGGTTGTGCGGTTCCACTGGTGTGTGGGGTGTGAACTGCTCCTCGCTGCTGCGCGGGAGAGGGTTTAGAGCTGAGCTCAGGGATGTGCGGGCACCGTCAGTGAGACAGCGTGTGCTGTGACACGCGAGAACAGCGCGGGGGGGGCGTGGGGCAGGACACGGACACTCCTCGGGGCTGTGCGGGGGATGGAGAAGGGGACACGGACACCCCGCGGGGCTGTGCGGGGGGGATGAGGGATGGACAGACACCCCCGGGGCTGTGCGGGGGATGGAGAATGGGACATGGACGCCCCGCGGGGTTGTGCGGGGGGATGAGGGATGGACAGACACCCGCGGGGCTGTGCGGGGGGATGAGGGATGGACACCCCCGGCGCTGTGCGGGGGGATGAGGAATGGACATCCTCGGGGCTGTGCGGGGG